GGAAAAAGACATCAACTTTTTGATGAGCTAACCAAAGTTAAGACGGTATGTGTTTGGCACCAACAAAGTGCAAAACACTCAAGCCTGGGAAACACTCGAATTTGTGGAGCGTTACGTATTTTGCGTTAGTTCCGACTGTGGAGTGACAGGTTCGGTCACTTGGGGACACTTGACGTTCAGTTCGCCTCCGTCAATTTGACGTACCGTTGGTGGTAAAATATCATATTTCCAAATCCCAAGAGACGCACATGTCACACTACAGTAGAGGCCATCTTTTTGCACGGTTATGGGGCGGTGAACAGCTGAAGTGGTAATCGATAATCGTCGTCTTAGAACTATAACTTTGCAACGAGACAACTGAGAAAGGAGAGCTCGGTTGCACAGTAAAGACCTCGGTTAAAGAAACGTACACAGCACCGAAAGCTGCAGTGGTTTGGTCACATACTCTGAATACCGAGTTACTGTCCAGCAAGAGAGACTGTTGTTTCCGGTGCCTGGTTCGGAGTGGCGCAGGCAGAAAAGTTATCAACATCTGAACCAGTTGGAGGATGAAAAGTTCGAGCGCTGTCCATGTGACCCGTCTTTCAGCATAGGATCCAGAAGATCCTCCTTGTGCTTGACGTTTGAATATATGGATGTGTACATATCTTCGAGCTCTGTGGTGAACAAGCATTAGTTCCGTTTCCACCCGCTTTTATTGTTAAATAATTTATTTATTGTTTACTGAATTTATTAAAGTAAGACTGTGCAAAAGTGAAGCAATGGTGTCCAACGCTGAAGTTACGCTGTTCTGCTCACGCTGATATCATCCGTCCTCTGCCACATTGCTCGTTGGTGACTTAATGGCATTTTTGTGATAAATGGTATGAAGCTGGGGCTTGCAACTAGAACAAGCTACATGTAACAACAAACTTGTGTTAACTTGTTCCGCATTCCAACATGCTTTTCCAACTCCACTGTAATTTTATGGAACGGGAATCCTTTCTCAGATGTATGTTATTAAACTCCAGATTGATTCCACCTACCACAATGAGTTGGCGAGAGAAACGCCTAAGAGGTGACTGTTCCGTCCTTTCAACATTAAAACATGATGAAAAAGCCATTGAGTTGGCGAGAGAAACGCCTAAGCGGTGACTGTTCCGTCCTTTCAACATTAAAAAAACGGGAATTTCATCAGCGTGGTTGTTGTCCACTTTCACTTCCTTGTTGTGGTTGATGTTATTGTCCCTTCAGCAAACAGTCACTCCGTGACTGATGCAAAACCGTGAGAAACCAATTCGTGTTGTCACCGCGACTACGAGAAACGGGTCGTTCAGAAGGTGAGCAGCCAGTGATTTGTAAACTCCAACGATAAATAAACAAGAATGTTATGAATGAGTGGCGTGAGTAGCGTCCAAAATATTTGCTGAGTGCTCGAAAAACCTAAGGCAGCCTTGGCAGAAGGCCACAAATCACGAATCAAAGATTGCATTCAGTAGGATAAATGTGAGTGCCACTCAGATATGGACAGGTGCACTACCTCACAGTGAGCCAAAAAAAGATAACGAGCATACTTCTGAGAAAGCTACAATGGAACAATGAGATTCCACTTTCTTGTGAAAAAGGCGCAATCTGTCGGCCGTCAACTATCCTCAACGTCTTAGTTAGAAACATTGAGAAAACGATCATGATTGCCTGGAACATGCGTAAGAAAAACACACGTTTTGAAAAACTACTGATATAGGACACAAGTTGAAACAAGGTGAGAGCCGCGAATGAGAAACGTCGAGGGGGAGATCCGCTATTTGGATTAGGTTACTGTATATGCTGACGCGTGTGAATTGACTGAGTTGCCCAAGTCACTCACCAACAGCGCACTATACAACATACGGTGTGAGCACATTGAGTGGTCAATAAATGTCATCAGAAGAGCTCCAGTTTCATGGTGCTGTCTGACTGCTGACAACGTCACGGGTTGTACATAGAAAAAATACTCCCTGCCACCATATACGTCAATTGTTGAATCCCATATTCTTTTTACGAGAAAGGTAACGAACGTTATCAATTAAACAAAGGTTGTGTACAACTTTAGGCTCATTATTGAAATGAGTCGAAAAAACATTAAGCCAAGAAACTCGAAAGAACGCGCCTCTCAGGACCAGAGGCCTATAAACGCGTCAAAAGTTCAATAGCTACAGTCCTCGTAATTCAAAATCTTCTCCAGAACCGACACTAACGTCCACAGAATGTGGACGGAACACACTACTTATAAGGATGCCGATTACCCTTCGATAGCCCACGATCGGTTTCACTTTGGGATCGTCGGGTAGATACAATCCACCTCCATCTTGCGCTACTTGAACCAAAATTGACAAAATCGGCCAAATACTCTTACCTGCCTATGAATTTCGGTTTGGCGGGAAACTCAACTGAATTCATCTCAGTTTCGCGTTTATACTGGCCTTTTTCAACCGAATATGCTGCACCAAGTCGCCCCATTTGAGTCCCCCGTCAAAACCAAATGCGTGCGCAAATGACAGTATTTGGCTAACTCTACGGAAGTTCTGCATATCCTAAAGTGAATGCCCTGACGGTGCGGAGCACTCTTGGCTGGTGGCTCGCTGACTGAAGGCTAGCTGACATCGATCAAGCATCTCCAAAGAGATCAAGGTAGTGTGATTTGAAAGCTATGAAAAAACGGAGATTTCACAATTACGAGCGGGCATTAAACCTAACGCCCATTGATTCAACGGGTAGCCTCACATTGAAAAAGGAAACGAGTCCTTGTGGAGATTTGATCGTCGTTTACGGGGACAGAAGATTGCGAGGTGTGGAAAATACATATTTCCTCCGATACCTATTTCTGCTTATATTGGCAAGGAACTGTTAACGACAGTGGAACGTTCTGGACGATTGTATCGTTTTTATCGGTAATTGCTATAACTGTCACAAGGAGTAAGTCAGATCTGTGCTAGAGAAATGTCATATACCGCTGACCGAGAAAGGCGGATCAGTGGGGTTGACTACTCCTACATATATTCGGTTTATCATCACCCATGCACAAAGATGCAGTGATGACGATCATACAGAATGATGAATTCTCACAGATTAGTAAGGTTGTGGAAGTCGTTTAGCTGCTAGATTCCTTATTAGTTTGTTAATGCCGGCTTGATGCAGCGTATATTGTGACAAAGCGAAAACTTCATGGCGGTATCTGTCCGGTAGCTCACTGAATTCTGCGCAAGATCAAGAGCCTTCGGGTTGAGACTGCACAGTAGACAGACAGACAGGCTGACTGACCGACTGGCTGGGCATCTAACCAACATGTTTAGCTATTTCGAAAGGCCTGCCTCCGGACAAACAGTGTCGTTCATTGTTCACATTGCGGGAAGACACGCTGTTAATGCTGGGATGATGTTTGGAAAAATGTGAAAACGCGCACATCTTTCAGGAAACGACTGAATGACTTTGAGAAACAGCCATCTAGCCGTTTTGGAGTGATTCCAAGGAATATTTACAGAAATCTACAAGATGAAACTGTAACAACGCATAGGTTCTTTTACTTTAGCATAATTCCTATCGTAGCAAAAAAGCACAAACGAATTAGTGCAACGATAAACACAATGAGATCCCATTCCAATTTACAACTGACAGCAAGTGAGTAAATGGCACGAAAGTAAATTCTATCAATTTTGTCAACAGTAGCAACATCAGTGCTTTACAGTTGTGCATTTGGTTGCAATCCACTTACGACCACGAGCAATCAACCGATCTGGCAAGTTGAAGCTCACGTTTGACTGAATTCAACTCAACTCAAGTATGGATCAGCTGATCTGGTATACAAGATGGTCGAAGAAGGCCATCAACTGGGACGAAGAGAGTTCAGGAGTAGGATATACTAGCTACCATGGAAGTGATACCTATGGGATAGGAAACATCTTACTTCGATTTGGATACGCTACTTGAGTTCGCTGCGAACGCTTCAATTTAATCAAATGGCCACAGTTGCTCTCTCCCCCCCAAAAAAGAGCCAAATGGCCACAGTTGCTCTCCCCCCAAAAAAAGAGCTACATAAGATCGGATATTGACTAGCAATTCACTGCTGATAAAGTAGTCTGGAGGCATGACTATCTTCAAATGACTATCTACGCTACCTGAGCTACTAACTAACATCTTCTGTAGAAAACATTTTCGTTTCTCGAGCACTCGTTCTTCTATTGACAGAAATTCACTCATGTGGAGGAAGTTCGTCCGTAAGAGCACAATTTCGTTGTGGTACCAAAAAGAACGTTCCACAAACCTGTAGTTTACTAGATGGAGAGATTGGTCAGTCCACTTTTTGCTCATCAAATAATACTGGGGAAAGCGCATACCAGTGAACTCGAATTATAAGGGGCGCAACTTATTCTGAAGGAGATCACGAAACGCTTGGGTGCTGTCGGTGTTACTCACCTTTCAGGACGGGGACCACGTGATCCTCACTGTGCCTGGTTGGAGATACTACAAGATAGGGCTGCCAAACGATGTCAGTGGCGTTCTTGTTGTCAGTTTCTATCCAGATCGTCTGAGTGAGTGTCTGGAGGTATAGGCACCTCGGAATTGTGATAAGCTAGCACTAAGACCCTTCCCGTCCAGCTTTACTCTTTTCTTTACAATGAGGCTTTCAAATAAATCATGGTTGTACGGCAGTGAAGCATCGGTGTTGAACACTGATGTGATGCAGTCGATGATGATGTAGTCAGTGAAGTGGAGACGATCAACTAGCTGGCGATTCGCGTGTAGGATAGCATAATCTCAAAACCTGGGGTTGGGCGTTGACCACAGGATTCGACAAAACTGTATGTACTCTACTTTGGGGTCTTCATACTGCCCTCGGATTGCTGCACCACATGAGACGCAGCACAGTTCACCACTATTGCATACTGTAGATCGTACTGGAGTTCAAAATTGGTGTGCGAGACAATCGGCTGAATGATCTACACTCAGCTTGCGTGACAGTGATTTGGACACATGAAACTTACTCAGCACGATCTTCGAGTACAAACAGTGGCTGGGCACCTGCACGAAGGCCATGAGCGTACACTGCGGCAGCCCGTGCAATGTGATGGCGTGATTCTAGCAATTCAGCCCATGTCGTGTAGAATTTGGCACACATGGCTCCAATTCCCTGGCGGAAGAGCAACTCAAACAACTCAGCCGGTTGGTCGCAGTAATCGGTCTGCAGAAGAGTGAAGGTGGAAGAACGAGGTTGTTTGTAGTTGCGGACAAAAGACAGCAACAAGTCTTGGCACAGATTGAATGGAAGAATCTAACAACAACATAAAATCAGGTATCAAGTGACCGGAGTATCCTAACAGCAAAAACTGACATTCCCTAACCACGCACAGACATGAATGGCCATTGATAACAAATGAACTGGGTCCAAATTTCCTTACAAAGTACTCATCAGTCGAAAAAATATATTATCTAGGTTGTGAGAACATCACTCATCAGCAGCACACGGGAATGCGCTCGTAAAGTGTTCACTAGTCTTTGGAATGGAGATACCAAAAGTGAAGGAAAACTAGCGGGAGTCTTTGGTAGTCGAAAGCAAGGCTACTCACATCGGAACATACATTGCGAAAATAAGCATCACTTATGCGACCGTCAAGAGATACTCAAATATTGTCCGAAAGATTCAGTGTCAGCAGCGCCAAGGAACAAAGGGTTCACGTAAACAATCACAGTTGTGGGATCGTCGTCAGAAGCGTCAAGCTAACCACAAACACTGCTCAAGTACGACTATTTTCACCTGTTCTGGCGGTATGGTTCAGATAAATCCAGCGTGCAAAGCCGATGTAACAGTAAATACGCTCGTCAGTCAATTAAAATCCCGGTATGCCAGAAAGAATTCGCTGTTGCTGATATCTAACAAGGTCCACTCAGGACGAAACCAGGACCGTTAGGACGATATGTGTATTCCTCTTAAGCAACCGATGTCTCCCAATGAGCACCGCACATGATTCCATAAAGAGACGGAACAATCATGACCCACTCCGGGTTTCCTCATGAGCTAAGGAAATTTCACCTCATACAATAAAATCGACTAGTGATTTTCGGTATATAAAAAATTTTCACGAGTATAGTTGACACTATATTCGGAAGAGTAAACTATCAAGTCACTTCTGAAGTGCCCAATCAATCTTACAGTAGCTGACATGCGAAACTGTGAGGAAATCGTTGGTTTCACTAACTCCACAATGGCATCGGAAAAGGAAACGTTTTATGGGCCGGTGATAATCATATGCAAGATTCAAGCGAAGACGGAACGAAGGCAACGCAGACAGTGTAAATTCAAAGAGTTCTTCTTACTGCTTCTTTTAGAAGGTAACTTGTTTACGAAAACTCATTTCCCGGTTACATATCCATGTTTAAAGCTATCAAACACCGATACCTCCTACCAAATCCACCTCTCCCATAAAGTACGATGTGGTTGGTCCTGAAAATTCATAGAAATCACATCCTGCCTTGTATTTAACGTCCTCGAATACAGGTCTCGTAGACCTGGTGATTATGACAACTCTCACGATAATGGTAAAAATCTTGGGGTTACCCCTTGAATGACATAATTAGTCGACGCATGAGCCAAACGAAGAAACTAGGTTGATTCGCCTACCATAGTTTTCAGAAAAAAGGAAAATGACCGGCAAATTTTGGTTATTTACCAATTTCAGTGTCCATGTGGTTCTCTGTGAGTAAGCATTACGATCTGGCGTTCGTCTAAACTGACTGGAGAACATTGTCCTAAGTGGTTGACTCTCCGGAGTACTGGTTACATCCGAGGTTGCACTTTAGCCTATCTGGTTGACGCAGATTATGTGGTTCATGGATGGTTATCACAGTATCACAACACCCATCTGAAGCGGTCAGACCACACAACCTTACAACTGCTGGAGCTACTTCCATTCACCCTTTCACGTCCAAACTGTGAATAGAGGCAATCCATCAAGTCCTTCCCGAAAAGATCCTCCATTGCCCACCTCCGGTATCAAGCAGCTCAAGTCATACCTAACAGCTCAAAGTCATCTGTTTGACAGACAAGGTTTAACATGTCCGCTGCGCATATCGCCTAGTTGCGTGCTCAATGGCATGCATGTAGCTAATGCGACCGACTCATTGCTACGCTCCAGTTCATCTTTCAACAAGGTACTGATGATGTCATCTCCATTGCTGATGAAACGTTTGCAATCAAACTGCCCGGCTCTGTGAACAAACCAACGACCATCTAGGCAACCTGAGCTACCAACATTCCCCTCAGTAACAAATCCCCTTTATAGCAAGTAATCTGAACTCTCCAGTTAGATGCTTAAGATAGCAACAATGGTATTGAACCCCAACGAAGCAATGTTTGTATGAAATTGTCAACTCACTCCGTTGTTACATACAGAAAAAGAAAAATAATACGTTCGATTTTTGTCCGGTGATATATACTCCCAAGTTAAAGTGCATGATTAACACGCACAAGGTCAGGCATAGAGGCAGTAAGCTCCTTTTCAGAAGACTTGAATAAAACAAAGTGATGTCCAAAAATGTCCTATTTACGATTGGTGAATAAGCATGGATGGAAAATATAAAATGGGACGTAGTTTATTGGCTCTTAGCCTGCTAGACCGAATAGCTTTTGTCCGGAACGCTTAACATACTGGATACATTCAGTTGATGAGTATTGTTCATTGCGGCTTAAGGACAGCAGAATCAATTAGCCAAACATACTTTAAGGAAAACCAATATGCTTCCACTTAATTGGTTCGACAGCATTCGCCGCTTCAACAAGACCACGTTCAGGGTGAACGAGCCGACTGTGTGCAGATGAGCCTATCTACTTGGTGAGCAGTTCACACCATTCACACCCGTTCTGCTTTACTCGAACAACAATGGCCTCTTAAATCCACTTTTGACAGTTTTAACCCATTAAAGATGTTTAGTAACAGTAATCAGGAGAGTTTGGCCTCTTCGAAACGTTACCACTTGGATTTATTTGTTTTCTGCATGAGACTACTTTGTACTATGCAGCAAATATGTGGTGTATGTAATAAATAGTATGATCACCTCACGCGCGGTAAACCGAAGTCTGTTTGAATCACCTGAGTCATTCTATCTGGACAGGTAATGTCAAGACTTTGACACCGTTTGCCGCATGGAAACCGTAACAGGTGTGACATCGATAGGAGTAAGATTGTTGTTTTTGTTGTCAAAGCTGTCATAAGAAACACAGACTGCGAAATGATTAAAGAATACGGAGATCTGAAGAACAACCAGTTGAGTGAAAAAAACCTCTGTTAAAATATGTAGTCAGACCGCTTTGGATAGGTGTTGTGATAATTGATAACCGATCCGGAATAGTGTTTCCATGAAACACATAATTTGTGTCAACTAGACAGGCGTCTTCGGATGTAACCAGTACTCCAGAGAGTACTCGGACAATGTCCTCTAGTCAGTTTAGACGAACGCCAGGTCGTACTGCTTACTCAGATAGAACCACATGGGTGCAGGCCGGGCGTCCGCACCACGAGGGTGGAGTACGTGAACAGCGAACGAAAGGGGCTGATAAAGTTTTATACGTTCGCATGCGTACCATCCTAGAGCAGGAGTTGATCAGGAACACAGAAGTGATAAGAAAGAGACAACAATTCAGAATGAATGAGCACGAATAACGCATGCTGAAGTGAACTCACAATCCGTACTAAAGGATCCTGGACCCACAAATCTGTGGTCAACATTAAACGGATGTTTTTAGGCCAGTTCATACAAGTCACCCATTAGAAGAAGAGGAACCATGGTCGATAGAAATAGCATCCCATGGGGATTTTGCTCTGATAGAGGAATACTGCGTCCAAATCCACACATTATATAATTATCGTTTAGTTGTAACACCCTTTCGGTGTTCATCTGTCAAGCTATCCGAAAGAAGCAAGAGAACTGAGATACTGCCGCAGGTTGCTCAACTTCAGACAGGAGTTGTCGCTGTTGAGTTTGCACTTGTGACTGAAGTTCATCGGCCGCTATCAATTTAATTCCATGTACTAACAGACAGTGTGTAACAAATTTACAGTAAATTGATTGGTGTATGGGTGGGAGCAGTTCTTAAATATGTGACATTTTCAGTCACTTTGGCACAACATAGCGCAAACTCGTTGAACCAATAACTACTGCGCTGCGTATAACTTGACCCATCGCTTTGATAAATAAGGTGAAAAACAAAATTGTGGACTGACAGTCCGAATTATTGGAATGTTGGTGAGTAGCTGTGTTCGTCTGACAATCTGTCAAGACTCACGACTTTCCCCAGGCGAATTTGCCTCTGTAACGATGGGGATGAATGAGGTGGGAAGAAGACTTGGGCAATTCAGATGGCATTGATGAATCAGCAGTGTCCAATTGTGAAGAGGGACAATGCAACATCGTGAAGTGGAAACTGCGCTGATTCCTAAGCTAAGTGTTGGGAATTAACCCATATAGGGAGCTGACAGTTCCTGTGACACAGGAGTCACATTCTGGAGTCCAACAATATGTTGAGAATAACTAGGAGACAAAACCGGGTAAAAAGAGACCAGCATTAAAAAACTCTCACAAACATTTGTGTTAACTTTCTACAAAGAAAGACACAGCTGCCGAGAGGTTTTACTGTCTCAACTGTTTCTCCATCCTCGACCGAAACTAACTTATAAAAATCGTTTGGTGACTACTAACAGGTCTTATAGTCTTAATCAATTTCAATAGACTTATAGCTCGTGCAATGCGCACCGTTGGCATTGAAACGGCTGACTGATGATGCAAGGGGACATCCTACACCTACCATCAGAGTGCAGTCCTTGTGCCCTTTTTGTCTGGACTTAACTAACATAGTTCTGCAGGTGTTGTCGGTCACAAATCAATTATTAGCTTATTGCATGAAGTGAGATACATAACTGTTCTGTGACCCAACAAATGCTACTCAAGTGCACTAGAGCTGTATGGGTGGACCAGTGATGGCACACTTAACCGCGCGTCAGAAGCTTCGCGTTGCCCAGCAGCCCTAGTAAAGGCGAAACTTCACTCATGTTTGTTACCCGGCGGAATAATCACACTAGGCAGGAAAAAGGACTGTTTAAACGAGACTAATGTACATACAGATTTTGCGAACCCCGTAACCATAAGAAATACAACAGTATACAGAAAGGTCAACTTGGCTTAACGAGTCTTAATCCATTCACCATCAAGCAATCAAATCGAGATAGTCAGTTATTACAAAGGGAGGAATTAAGGATCCACAAGGTTTGTCGCCAACGACGCGCCACAATGCTTCGAGGCTAAATTTATGCAGCCGAAGCGATTAGATTCCTCAATGGTTCCTTGGGATGCATAAGGCGAACGTGCAAGAACCAGCTCTAGTGAATCGGTCAAAGAGAAACAATTTGCTCCCAAAAATATGGGTGGAACTACTGCATAACCACAAAACTGAGTTTCAGAACAAATGTAAAGTAACAATGAAAACATCAATCGCGTCGAATATCTACCTAGTGAAAATATGCGACCCAAGAAACATTGGGCGCCAATCACAAACCAGATTACGGTGGGTCCCAGTATGATATACGACCGAAATTGAGCTAATGAATGATGAATTAGTGTCCTGATCGTTCACAAAGGAACCGATCGCTAAAACCTGAAATAACGGCAGGACTATCCGTTATGAAAACGGTAGATTTTGTGTTATCTAAGAAATAAGCACTGCACACTGCAGCGGCGAAACTACAATAGTGAAAAACCGCATTGCTGGATTTCAGAGCTGCTGATTACTAGTACCATCAGACCTATAAATACAGGGGCGAAACGATATCAAGATCACCGGTTTTCCCCGAGGTCCCAGACTAACCTTCACCTAAGAACTTCTGGGCACTTATCAGGTGGGCGCAGTCCCCAAGCCACCCTCAAACGTTCCTTCTATTGGAATCCAAATCGCACGGAATTCGCCAAATACACGCAAATGCGTACTAATATGGTTTTCCCGGGAGACTAACTTGAACGCCAGAGGGAATAGCAGATTTATAGAACACGAGGCGGACTTCGTGCAGCACATTTAGTTGAAGAATATCCCAAACGGGGGATTCAGTTCAGTCTGCCGTCAAAACCGACTTCGTGTGCCGCCGCTGCTCAAAAGCCAGGCTGTAATAAGACTTCGTGTGCCGCCGCTGCTCAAAAGCCAGAGCTGTAATAACCGATATCTAGCGGCGCAATTAAATGTGTAAAAAGTTTGTTGTAGATGGTTCACCTGAAATCCTGCTATTGACGAAAGATGTGAAGCCATTACCCAGCGGGGGAAAACATTCTTCGACGCGATCGAATAAAATCGATACCAAGCTCTCACCAAACAATCAATTGTCAATCAGACCTTGCCCTTTCACCTAAGGTGCGCAAGAAAATGGCCCTCGCCCACAAAACTGACAGAATATGCGAACGAGAGTATGTTATACCACCCGATCACCTCCGTCAGCTAAACAGAGACATAATCCTTTCTGCCAACTGCATGGTGAAGCTGGCTGTCGGACGTCGGATTGATTGGTGCTTGAATGTGCGCTTGATACCGACGCTCGCGCAACAAAGTCATCCAATTAGCCAACAGCGAATGTCAAACAAGCGTATTGATTAGAAAGGGGATTAACTTCAGTGAATGTATCACTATGTGCACGCTCCACTTGCTGTCCGATTGGAAGATGTACAAAGGGAGATTGGATTATCAAATCAAAGTAACGACCGATGAATGGGTGTGATTCCACTCCTCAAAAAGGAATACACATGTATGCCACCACGCATCTTCAGCTATTGCTAAATATCGACCAACCGAAAAGGTTTCAAAGAGCGTGATTCGATCGCTAGTACAGCAGGGACACCCCACATGCTCGAAAGAACAATACTTTTAGCATGTTAAAACGTATCGGTATCAGTCACGGGATAACGCGACTAAAAGTTTACGAAGTCTGGACCGGAAGCCACAGGGGACCCACCCTTTCTTGTTATGACACTAATTATAAGGTTGGTGAAAACTCTCCGGGGTTCTTACCAAAACGGGTCATCCATTCATGTGTACAATTTGCATTCCAATAATGAAAAGTGAAAGCAATTGGTGGTCGACCGTGTTTGAGGCTAAATCGAACTCGATGGAATCAATTTTAGTCTAGCAGAATGTCACGGAGTTCTAAACTAATTCATCCCGATATTTCTTTGGAATTGTCAACCCAGACAAGAGGAAGATTGATTTCATTTGTGTTATTGATGACTTGACCGGTGATGATGACCGAAAAATTTGGTGTGGCAAGAATCCAAACCAAACGAACGCGTTTTTCAATTACGCAAAGTAGGATCCAAACTAGGCGCGCACAAGCTCACTGGATACCCGCTGCATCTAAGACTGGGGGGATGATGATCGCGGTAATCTCAGTGAAGGGGAACAATAGCCATGGGTGATGATTCACTGCTATCTACTTACACTTGTCTCCTCTCAGAGCTATCCCCAGAAAGACGCAGAATAGTTCGCTCCCAGGAGAGAAAGAAGGAAGGCAACTTTGAGGAGAAAACTCGAAACATTCTTCCAAAATCAGTTTTTATGGACTTTGAGTTCCCGTTTTTCAGTATTCAGAGGTTACCAATTGTGGGGACATACCCTAGTTTAAATGCACCGCGATCGTAACTCTAAACTTTTAACATCACGGCGGATCGAAACTTGACAAGAATCTTTATCGGTCGATTTATCTCTCTGACTGGTGGGTTTGGGAAACCGATCGCCGAGGCACTCGGTTGGTTACTCCCACCTGCCTAACCAGCTTAAAAGAGTAATCAAACTACACATTAATCAAGTCTCGGTCTCCAAGCTAGCCATTAGGCCTGTCCCAATTGAAACAACCCAGCTTCATAGCCACTCGGTCGCTCCGCTCAAACGCGTGTTAAACAGGTATATTAAACTGAAGCTTAAACATTCGTTGCAAGATAGCTCGATATGATTAGGGGGTAACAGGAATGGGGTAGTACCGAAGATAACCGCCTGTGTGGGTGGTCGGGCAACCGACGGAAGGAGTGAAATGTTGGTGAACTCATCCCGCACCTAAGAAATCATCTCTTCATTAGACTCGTAAATCTTGAGAAGGATAAACTGCTGCTCACACCATCTGTCTCATAATTGGCTATCTCCCAAAATGAGAATAGCTATTCGTCATTAGGTGAGAGGTGTGGAAGTCAAGTTATGCTGACCTTCGCGTTATCGTAACGAAATTCCTTCAAAAGAAAGAGTGACTTAGAGGAAGAGTATAGAAGTCTGCAAATATCATCAGCGTATTAATGTATGAATACCCACGTTAACCTAAGTGTTGAATTCGCGCGCGCAATCAGAAACTACAGTTAGTTGGAAACTTGAAACAAAGCCAGGTTTCTTCTCCACCGCAAGACAAGATGAAAAGGGCCGTTTGGATAGAGTTATCAAATCGATCAATTATCAATCGATCTACTCCTGGCAGTGGTTCACATGCGACACCGAAAGAGATTTAACGCTTATCAGGCAGATAGAGTCCCGCGAAAACGAGTCTCCATATGCCCCATTTATCTGGCTGCTTTTCCCAGAAGGAGATACGAATTCAGTTCGCTGTGTTACTGAAAGGCACAGTAAACCAGTTGCTCCGCCAAGTTGTTTCGCTGTTTCGACAACTAACTGTGCTACATGAGCTTCACCTTAAAACCGTAGGGAAAAAGGTCTGCATGATGCAGTTTCAACAAACGGACCGATCGGAAAATAACCAGTCACACAAGTCACAACGGTGACACGACAGATCGAGCACTCCGAGTACCGGCTTACAAGGCGAATCCACACGTCAACAAAATCATCGTCATTGTGCACATTGGGCAACTGTCCTGAATCTCGAACACACCGATAGAGCACGTTTTCCAAATCCGGAGAACGTCGTACGCTTGGGTATGTCTGTTCGATCCAGCGAAGGTAGCTGTGAATGGGAACGGAAGAAAAAATCGAAATAGATACAAACGATCGCGCCGCCGACGTGCCACCTTTGGAGTAGAGCTAGCTAGCAAGCAAATCAGTAATCCTTTTTGAGAAAAAACTGCATTAGAGCAAGGATTATTACTCTAATAGCACTCAGCTATCTCTAAGCATACTATGCTACGACAGTGGTTCAGATTTCTTTTCAATCAGAATTCTGTCCTCTTCCTCAAGAAGACAAACATGACTCGAAATGTCACCACACAGCGTAGAAGAAATGAGTATGGCACAAATATGAACTGCACATAGACTGTTTTCTGTGCGTTTACTCAGTATTTCGTCGTCATTCTGTGGAATGTCTCAAATAAACAGTACTCGCGGTCTGCTACGTATTTATTCAAGAATTCATCCAAGGTACCCAAGAAACAAGACCATCTGATGTGGCTTTCTCCCCAAGTCATCTTCCTGCAGACTACTCTGATGTGGTGGTCGGACTCGAGTATTTCCACGATCCTGCAAGCTACGATAAGAGGAACCTAGTTCCATATGGTACAATCATATGGAAACCAAAACTTGGTCAAACTTAGATCATTGGGCCATAGGAGTAAGAACAGTCGCTGTGTAAGATGGCCTGCGGGAATTAGCAAAGTCCTCTGTGATAGAAGTGCCAGGGCAGTAAGATGTTTCCCCCAGGTGTATTCATGGAAGCCGTGACAGTGCCTTTCACAGAGGAGGGCGGGTTAGAAAATTTTGATTCTAAAAACTGCACAATCAGATCGGCCAAAATCTCACCACAAGCGATTTACCCAGTACGCCCATTACAGCTGTAAAAGCAGCGGCATTACACCTATACCTTAGTTCCCCAACCTATGCGCCCTCACACCAGCAAGCTTCCTGCAACGAAGCGGGTTAGGTCACTGTGTTTTCTGCTTCGAGAACGGTCTTCCAAGAAAACCGTATGGTCCGTTGCCTCGCGAGCCAAACTTTCGAGTTGAAGGCCTTAAGTGGAGTATCTCAACTAAACTCTTCCTTGAACTGGACTATCAGAACGTATATTTGACCTTAGTTTTTTGTTCACCCATGTCCCCCCTCAATCCCTTTTCATCTGATAAAACCAACTTGTGCCGTATGGGGTGAAGAGAAATTACTTTCAGAGTGGTGTACCCCAAAGGTCACCTCATTAAGAAAACTGTAAGATAACCATGGTGACACTAACCTGAAAGCCGAGACACCCAAGGTGCTCTCTAATCTAGTCCTTGACTGAGCACAGAAAGAGAGACAGCTCCATGGGAATCAAGCTGGATTTCGTCACGTAAAAGGTACATGGTCACATATTTACGCTTCGACAGACTCTTCAAGAGCAACAGCGCATACAACAATCATAGGTCATCTCATTTCCTGACCTGAGAGATGTTCTCGAGTCTGCCGAAAGTCAGACAATGCGGCTGCCTGTGCGGCAAATGTTCCTCCTACAGATCCCTATCCCTTCTTAAGACGGTGTACTCACATGAATGGGTGCAGGTCTATCTATGAAGTTTACTAAATCAAGCGGCATCAGACAATGCTGTCCTCTTTCGTGTTCAGCTACGTCATCACTCCAAGCCTATGACACCGGTGGAGTCGAAACACACGTCAAAACACATTGTTTAATAACTCAAATAATTCTGTCCTACGGTTTAGTATACACTTTGTAGTTGAAAAGTGTAGTATTGTTGAAAAACTGGGTTGGATCAAACCCGAAGCTCATACCCGCCGGAAAGCCGATTGAGGGAGACAGATATGTCTGTCTGGGTAATCGCATCAGTCCTGGTAGTTTAGACAAAGACGAAAGTGATATCTGTCTGGGAAAGGCAAGAGCGGGTCATGTCAACCCGCATCATATGTGGCATGGACGTAATATCAACTTGTCTATCAATGATTTGCAATGCTCCATAATGTATATGGGTCAGAAAACAGGTCACAAAGAGCTGGTGATGATAAAATCTTTCAATGCTTGACCATTGGTGTCTTCGGAGCATTTATCGAATCTGGATCAACAATGCAGAAGTACGGCGAGTGATTTTCAGAAGAAATAGCTCGTGCACAATAGATGAGCACAATAAATGATCAATCTATGCTGAGAAGCCGAAAAGCAATGTACAGCCGTTCAACCCTTATTTGGGATCCTCAGCGATGTGCATCTCTGTACGGAGGCCAGCTGTCCCTAATAACCGAACATCACATCATTTGGATGGATGTGTCACGTGCAGGACACGGACAAGTCGAAGGAATGCTCTGGTCGGTCGCAATATCAGCCAATCCGCATCGAACACCTTTTACTCAATGGTTCTCACCCCCTCACGGAGATTCCAGCACGACCTTGTGGAACACCCTGTGATTACCCTATAAATACAGCTGTAATAATTTTCCTTTGTCTTCATAAAGGGCTGTCTAGAGCTACCATGCCTTTTGATATACCATAATGGGCGGAGCAGGGAGCCAAGGGACCGATACAGAGTTGCACTATCGTTTAGCAAGACAACAATCTCTCTAACCCTCAATTTTGAACAGCTAAGCGCAGATCTGTTTCTGAGCAACCGGAATTCAACAGCTGAGAACACTTATCGACCGTCACATAAACGATATACTTGTACTTCCAAGCAATGTTATCAGTCCAATCGACGTTTTGGACAGATTCAGCCTAGTTACACCACAGCAGAAAGTTACTGTTGAATTTGAGCATAAAACCCGGCCAAACTATCTCGACTCTGCCACGCTGCGGAAGGCAAACGGGACAATACAATGGAAAGATCACAAAAATCAAAGCTGGAGGGGTCAGTATATTCACTCTGATGGGTTCTTACAGATACGACAAAAGGGGAATCTAATGATACTTGACTGAGGTTCCTCTGAGTGTATCCAAAAGAAACTGGAAATCTCTGCTAAAAAGATACCCTAAGGGTTCACGCTTAGATTTATGCAAACCGAAAACCAAAAGAGGGCGCTTAGCAGCACATTAGCAAGAAAAAGTGGATCTAAACTGACATCCCATTCAGGGGCGGTTCGATCGCAGAATCAATCGCTATTGGGTCAAAGTGTTGTGTTGATATAGCGCACATGGTCGAGGAACTGTGCTTGAGCTTCAGTTCCAGCGCCACCATTAGTACCCATCTGAAAGACAAACTGCCACATTCTACCAACTGTCCGTGTGTATACTCAGTTGTATGCTCGCGTCTAGCATCATACTTTAGTTACATGACAAGGCTTTTTTCGACAGGATGTGTGAGCACATTCCAGTTTCTCTGGAGTGCGACCGGAAGAAGTGTTACCAGTGCAATCGCGTCACATTTAGCCGACACCGTTCACGTCATCGACAAGGAACGTGCTTTTCAAGTCCTATACACGATTCACCCGAGTGGTCATGGACACAATTGCTATCAACTACAGACATTCTCGGAATTCACTTACATAACCCAGAGTTCTGCGTTCAAAATAAACATGTGCGACCTTTGAACTTATACTAACAAACCTGCCACTCTGTACCCATAACTAAGTTTAACTGAAATGTCATCCGTTTTCCTTCGTGACTCCAAATTTTCACATTCGCGCCCGAAAATTTATCTAACCACGCACGTGAGTCATGTTCAATTTAATACAAGTTGCCGAACAATCACAGAAAACAAATTTTGGTTGCGTTCTGTTTGCGAAGATTGGCAGTTGGTTGAAAAACGTTTCGTCAACAATCGAGGTGACATCTTCAGTGCGGGATTGACGATGTCACCCCAACTGCCAGCGAAACATTTGCGATCAAACTGTCGAATTCGGGGAGAGTACCAATATCCAAGGAATACACCCGATCTACTTGTATTCCACAACAGTGCAAAAAACACCGGTTGAATGCATTGTTGTCCCTCCTTATTTCCTTACCGAACAATCATGTGTATCTAGTTAAAAGTTTGCGCATTCAACCATGTTACCGATAATGGCTTGGAAACTGATACGCTGAACGTAACTCAGAATGGTTGCCCAGGTACAGTTCTCTAGCGAGAAGTGAAGTGCTGCCAGTTGCCTACCTGAAATTCATTATTTCAGTATGTACGGAAATGTTCAAATTAAATTGGAGCCATATTTTTACAGATTGTTCGTTGCAGCAGACAGACCGATCGCGCTGGGGACTTTGTTTGAGGGACGGGGACTGGAATTTTGTTCCTGACAAACATCGGATACTTTTTACAGTTACTCCGCACTCTGAAATCTGAGCACGAATTCAAGTGCGGAAGGGCACTACAGAGATGCTTTGTCCAACTGAGCACGTTTCCGATTCGATGCGGAGATAGAATGTACATAAGGGATGGGCGCTATTAGCATCCCCCAGTCCCCTAAAGAGTACATAGAGACGCTGTCTGGTCAGTCTATTGTGCTATAGAACAACTACACCTTCCAGCCACCGTGGTATGGTGGCCATATGGATTGGTGGTTTCGAAGTGCCTGACAGAACTACAGAAAAGGATTTAGGATGGGATCGAAGTTCAGCTGAGCTCAGCGAGTTCCAAATAAATACCTGTGAGTAACCATCGTCCTTGACTCTCCATTGACGTTCACAGTGCCGTTATTTCCCAAGGATTGCGAACTAGTCAAGGCATTCAAATACGTGAGACCGACAGAAGGAGCTTATCACTGGCATTTAGGTTGTCCCAATCTGGCAACCTGGACAACCTGGCAATACCTGATTCTTTCTTCCGACCGCGTGCTGCCTATGCACCGTGGACCAAGACGAAGGGAAATATCGCAAAATGATTGTCAATCCGCTGAGATATTGCCCCGGGAGGCCTAGAGCAGAGGGGATTGTGCCACTCGCCTGTATGCCCCCACATGCAATCTCCTGATGCGGTTTGGGGAATGACGGCTTAAAGTAACAACAAGGGGGAGGGTGGGTGAAACACTACAGACTGTCTTCTGAGAAAAACGGAAGCACTTGATTTAATTCCGTGGCAACAAACGCGACTTACCGAGAATAGAGGCGAAGTTTGGCAAACGACTGCGGCATCGATGCAAGTTTGAGTTCGAAGTGTCTGTGGGTACAGAGGGGAAACGGTGTCTACGATAGGAGAGCAAGTGTAAAGAAAAGCACGCAAAGACGGTGCTTCGAGGAAGTCATTGCGTACACTTCCCCGTAAGCGACCGCAAGATATCTGTGCGGTCCCGTTCAGCTTTGTTCATGAGCATCAGGATATAACTTACACCAATGTGTCAAACGGACGAATCGGGTTGAGATCCGGCCCACACGAATAACTCTCTGGGCCAACGAGTTATATTTGATGAATTGGCTGGTGTTCTGTTCGGTAAGTTTGGAAATTCGGCCAAGGTGACACCAACAGCGTGTCGTTGTTTAGCAGTGTACCGAGGCACAGAAGTTCAAAAATGCGACGACTCGTGGCACACCATGGCTGGTTGGCTGGGGTCTTCAGTCAGCGTGATACATATTACCCTAAATGTACTGTTCAGTAATCTAGGCTCGACATTTTGGGTGGCATCAATCGGCGGAAAAAGTGTGGGCTATCGATGGAGAGGTGATCTTCGTGAAAGTGCGGGGAAAGGATCATCCCAAGCTCTCTTCATTCAACCCTAAACCAATCTAAGTGCTAACGATGTTTCAATTTGCCCCTTTTAATGTACACACACCAGAACCATTGTGCCATGACAGAAGGAAGACTGTCCAACGACGAACGAGATTCCACAAATACGGCGACCACTTACTACTAGTGTAACAAGTGTTGATGGACGAAAACTGGAATGTTTACAATCACTATGATCAACACTGCAGTGCATTCGTCATTCTACAGAATTACTGTGACAAACCGAATTCTGTAACGCAAGCTTCACTCGGCTGTCAAGGAACAGTGCTCAATGTCTCACCTAGTCATAAAACAGGGCCATAGAATTTAATAGATCATCTAAAAAATCCGACACACTGACAAGCAATGACATACAACCACCAAGTGATGAGCGATGCCAAAATAATAGTATCGAAAGCGAAAAAACGAAATTCTATACTGTAAATCGCAAGGCCGAACAAATGCCGAGTATTAACAACATCTTAGCTTTGAATTGGAGATCACCAATCAGCTAGGTAAGCTAGGCCAGACAGAACGAAGTGTAGCACACTGGAACGCTGGCCATCCCATCTAGGATCAACCATACTCCCCTGATTAGTGTGAAGATGCCCAGATGATGACTTTGTCAAAGGACTTCAAACCAAGTAGGTGAACGTAACTACGTTCACCTACTTGGCATGGAAAACTGTCATTTTTACACGCGAACGCTATCGCGGAACAACACAAGCAGGAAGTGGCATACTGGCCGATGTGGGAACATTAAATCGATCGGCAGGTGGGAAAAGAAGTAAGCTCGATGATAATAAAGCTTGTCTAAACGCGACACACCACGCATAACGTTGCTGAAAACTCTACGACAGCCCACGATCGGATTCAGACTTTTTAGAGCTCACCAGGTAGAAGATCATCAAAAACAAGCGATTCAGCTGGATTCAGTTGAGCTTCCCATCGAAAGCGAATTTGTACACAAATTAGAGTATTTGGTGGTGAGAAAGCTCGCCTAACCGAAAAACTTCAGTTGGTAGGATCCCTAACAGACGCCAGTGATTCTCCCTGGGGTTGGGAAGACCACCCTACTACAACGGATTTTCTAGTCCAATTGCTACAATTTCTATGGTGAAGTCTTAGTAAAAAATGCCCCACGATCGTAATGAGTCAAAAGGGCTGTAATCTCATCAGCTGTCACACTGCAAATATCTGAGGAAAATGGAGGATACTGGACTACATCAACAAAATAACTGCATCAAAGTGATCACATAAATTGTATGCACTAATACAGGTGACAATGTTTAGCTGATCAATTCGTAGAAGCCATTCGTAATGAATGAGAGCAGCCAATCCGAGTTTTCCGGACACTATGAATTCGATCGGGAGATAAACAGTGCCAATGATACATAGCTTATGGAGAGTAGATACAAAAAACGATTGTTTCAACATATTCTGAGCGTTTGGGGCGTGCTGACTTCAGAATAGTTTTATGCTAAGAATAACCTACCCTACCCTTCTCGCTACGGACGAGAAAAAGACAAATAAATCATAAATAATCGTATCATCGATGAAGAAAGTTAACGTGACGTTTTCAGTAGAGGGGGAAAGTAAATCAGCTCATACTGTAACCACGGGCAAAACAAGACTGGTTGGCGAAATCTCGCGTGATCACGCCAATCTGGCGCAAGCGGAAGTAGTGGCAAGGCTCAATGTGGCATCCCACAGGATAAAAAATGTACTCAGGCTTGTCAAGAGTAAAAATCATGTAACTGTAGTGTATGAGCGAACAGTTTTGCGTGTGTTATCGTCCAACAGATGGAAAGATAAACAGAACTAACGGTTACTTATTAGGGCAAAAAACCGATGTACCAAAACTTCGATTCCAACAACAGAGGTCTGAATTTTAGTGCCCCTTCAAATTTCTTGGAATTTTACTTCCTCTATGGCTCAAAAGTGATCGATACACCAAGCTCAAGCAGTATGTCTCCGCTGATAGACTGATAGACGAATTTACAAGTTGGAGAGAAAATGGTAGCTCTAACCTGGCCGTGAAACTTCACAAACACGCATCAGGATTCGGACGAGACTAGCACACCCCATCGCTTGTGATATTGGAGCCCACAGACTTCAGTTATTTTTGTGCAAGCGTGCTACTGATGTGCTTGCGTGTAGACTGGAGAATTGGAACTGGGAGGTCGGTCTGGCTGGACTACTGACAGTCTCACACTTCCAGCTAGTTTCCTAGCCCCTTCACATAGCGGTGGTTTCAATAGCGTAGAAAACAGCGGATGTCTGGTTATCTAACCGAGTTGACGAACCCAGATGAGCTGGTTATATGTTGATTTCAAGTCAGAAGAGGACGTCGTATGAAATGCCAATTAACCACTTCTGCAGGCGCGCAACAGCACAAGCTGAGATTTGCTGGATAACATTTGGTCGGGATGTGGTGGATCGTTGGCCAACTCCGAAGGGGAAATGGGTTGAACCTGTGACCGACTCCCAGCGAATCCCAGACCTGTGCACTGCCTTGGAAATCAAGTCATCGAAAAAATCCCCGATTGAGGCAATCTAAGTCACCCTGTTCGGTCTCACAAATGAAACGTTAGTTGTATGGTGCTCCGAACAAAAAATGTCTACCAAAACATACATCCCTTTTATAGCTACCGAAGAAAGTTCTGTGCGCACTACCACCAGTTCTCATACCACCCAAGCATCCTCTGTAGCGTTCAAATCCCACTGATGCCTCGCACTAGTTTCTGAAAATACTCGGTTGGATTGGACAGAGTGGACGACAGTCAAGTTTGAAAGATCTAAGCATGGATGTTTGTCTCTCAGAAACTCGCCCGTACGATTCGGACCTAGTTACCCGCTTGAATTCTTCGCCAACAACTGGTCAAGTAACGTATCAATAGAGCCGATCAACTCGCTAGCACGTCCCATCAACGGGTTCGCATTCCTACACTGGATACCTATCAACAGCAGGCTATGTGCGGAGACATCAGCAATATCCTGCAAAGCAAACTATCACGTGTAAACGAAAGGTGGTTTATTCAACGTCTAACCCTAGGCGCTCGCCGATTGCACCAAAACTTCACAACTACCTTCAAAGAGGGGTCGCGAGCCAATGTAAATATGTTAACCAGAGACCTGAACGAGTCAGTCGTCTGGGCTCACCTTGGTGGTGGGACTGATAGCTGGGCTTGAAACAACAAAAGTGATCGACTCCTAGATTGCGTGAGCTTCAAACAGGGTACGCGCCGCCACATGACTTGGTGTCCACCATGAGCTGCTCAACAACCCAATTTCAACATATCGTAGTCAGTTGTCGGCGGACTAGCTGCGTTCAAGACTGCCGTTCTAACTAGAGCGCTTGCTTGGAATTAGATTATGCAATGGTACACACGAATTCGAAGGTGCACTTCTGTGGAAAAATAGCTAACCCGCCAAAGCACACCAATGTGAGGCAACCAACTTTTAAGAGAGGCTAGAGATAGAAATGGATGGGAAGAGACAGAAGCAAACAACACTGATCGACCATTCGACATGTCATGGAACGCATCAAAAACAGCATTTGGGGATAAGAGAACCTTCCTTCAAAGCCGCGGGTACTAGCTGAAAGCCTTTGTTTGAAAGAATATATGACCTTCTGTCCTAGCTGATTTCGATAACCATGCAGAACGAGTATGCAGGAAGATGGAAACCAAGTTGAGGACACCGAAGGAGCTTGGGCGACCGACGACAACCGCCATTTGTCCCGTCTTATTCAAGCGTGCGTGGAACGATATGTGAACATGGTGCTGATCACGAACCTCCGCCGACGGACAGACTGTTGGACAGAAAACTTCATGTACTAGTTTAGCCTCGACGTTTCTATTGTCACGATTTTCAGAAACTGTGGCACACAAACCTAGCACGCCTTAACCAACCTAACTACTGAAAAAGTGAGCGAAGACTTTGGTTCCTTGAAAACGACCCGAAAATGAACTGTCCACTGAGCTAGTCGAGTACGGCGAGAACGACCTACAAACATAGTTGATTGGCTCATCAGCCGAAATCTGGAAACGACAGTACGTCCAAATTTCTTGGATGAAAATGTTCAGAGGACTGATGAGTCAAACCATCGAGGGATAAGCTTAAAAGTGCTGAAGATTCTGGCAATTCGCAATCCTTACAGAAATACTATTGATCGGGAACCGATGTACGGCGAAATATAAACTGGCTCCCGTAGTGGTGGTAGTCGTGTTGATTGGATCTTCACACTGCGAAAAATTACGAAGCAACGCCGCGTATATTCAGGAGTAACTACTACATTTCTCTGGGAATAAGGCTACCTTCGAATCGAGGGATCGAAATGCATTACAGAATGCCTGATGATCTTTGAGAATGTCGGAATACGGCCATGTGTACAATCATCTTCTATAGAAATTACAACCAGTTTGTCCGGGGAATTTAATACTTCCTATCCCTTCGAATCACTTACTAGACAACGGACGATGGCTTTGATGATCGTCGATAGCGCACAGTTTCTACTGGAAGACAGTCTAGGCCACGCGGATGATACCGTTATATTCGGAAAAGTTTCCCAGCTGGTTCAATTAATGCTGTACAAACTGTTGACCGATTCGGTCTGCTTCTCATCAGTTGAGTGCGAGGAACGTGAAAGTCTGGTTGGTCTTAAACCCTACGCTTATTGACTCTCGGCGGCTAGTTAGAGTGAGCTTTGGCAAGACAAATATCGGTCATGGGAATCGTCGGTTCCAAAATAGCATGCTGCATCACAAAAATAGGAGGCGTCCTTCGACCTCAGACTCTGTTCGCGACGGTGCGTTTGTCTAAAAGGAGAAGTGCTCAAGCACTGGTTAAATGACTAATTCTCTAAGAATACAAAGGTTGGTCAGCATGATAAAAAGGTATTCGAGATTTGCTGTCTACATCTACGGAGTGTTTCCTGCGCGTAAGCAAGTATGTCATACCTTATATGATGGCAAGGACTCAGAAAAATGCCGAGTTGTTTCCTTCAATCTGGTTGGCCGTATACCACGTCTGATTCAGTGAATCGCGCCGCCTCCCTGGATGCGTTCAGCTTGGCTTACCCAGTATGAATCCGACAAACAGTTGTGGAGATTGAACAGCAACGTGAAGGAACGATAGATCACAGACTCCTTGGTGTGCGACCCGGTCAAACATAATAAGGTGACAACGTACGACAAGGAGTTTATAAGACAGAATGCGAAAATACAATCTTGTGTCTCTGAAAGAAACCGAACTCGAGGGATATTGGATCACATCTGGCCGAAACCAGTCATGGCATCGACGAAGAGCATGTATATTCGATGTCATATGACCGCCTATCTCTAAACCGGTCAAGGCTAGTACGGTACAGACTGTCATCGATCGCGAAAGTGATTAGGATCCGGATACTTAACTTACAACTTTGCGTCCAAAAGAAACTCGTGCGACCTCCGAACTTGAGCTGGTCTGCGGAAAATCCGGTCCCACAAACCTGTCGGACATTGATGTCACTCACTTGATTCCGTGACCCCTCTTTTTCTTTCACTAAAATGGATGTACCCCTGGTCTTCACTGCCTTTTCACGTGATTTCTCACACATAAATTTGTGATATATTTACCACAGGGACCAACCGCATAAAACAAATTTTGTTCACAACGTTCGTTCTTTCCATAACTTCCACGTGTGTATCCAATCACATTTTGAGTGCGATTGTTCGCTATTTACAAGACAAACTAACAGTGAACGCTGAGGTCGTTTATGCTAAACTGTCGTTTACCTACACACAGGACCTGGTGATTAACCTGAAATTCAACTGGATTTTTATAGCGAAGGTGTGGTTGGACCGCGAAAAGCCTGACTATTAGGGACAGTCTGTCCCTCTGAGAACACTTGATGTAGCCCAATAAGTGTTCGTGTGGCTGAGCTTATCGGGATCCAAGCACGTCTTCATCGTACATGGATTGACCTTGAAAGTGTAGACTAGGCCCTGAAATATAGGTTGTTAGACCTACCAAAGCGAAAGTCCGAGTGGTGCAATGGGAACTAGTTAATATATCGATTCACTGTTTCATTAATGCTCCGGCAAAACAGGTGACCTTATTTCAAAATGTAAAATGATGTGAGGTTGCAGAACATTCTGTCAAAAAGGTGACTGCGTTGCTACGGTTTCTCCCATCCTTCTGACCTGAAGATTACATTTCACCAGCTTTCCTTAGCTCATAAACCGCAGGGGTTATCCTACCCGAAAACTGCTAAATTCGGCGAGTCAGATAAGGCTGACAAATAAGTGCTCGGTCACGTGGTACTCAACGCCTGTGGGGATGCTAATTACTCTTACATTTGGAAAAAGCTTAGTTCGCAAAAACTTTGGCGTCTTGACCTGTATGTAGTCAATAAATTTGTTCAAAAATATGACATCAATCGTGCGTCCAGTGTCAAGAAGACAGGATGAAAGGACTGTTAAAGTTGTGTCATTGTCCAATCACTCACGCGGATGCTGTGTATTCAGACATACGTGTTGAAAATCGCCTCTTCGTTCAGCTGTCTCAACAGGAGCAGACAAATTCATAAACACACAATGGAGTGTTCCGAAGAGGAAGTGTCTGTTAGTTCACTTACTAAAGCAGTAGCATTTCTCGACCACTATGGCAGATACGTCGACTATGTTTTTATAGTATGCGACGCTTCCACTGACTCCGCCTCTAATCTGGTCGCATTTAGAAGGAGCTTATTCATTTAAATTCTTTGCAAGGGAATCCGAACAAGTTGCTGTTTTTTGACGTGATAAGACTACAAGACGGGTCGGTACAGCGTCATGTGTATATTAAAATGAAATCGCAACTTTGTCCCTCTCAAAGTCAAACGGAATTCCGTTCAGTAGCTCTGTGTGATAGAGCAGTATAAAGTCGTTAATCAAAGATTTTGACTGATGAACTAAACCTTCTGAAATGTTTCGACGAAATGACTATGAAGAACGATTTCCGGCGAAACACCACACCAAAGCACACCGCGCAGTAAGCACGACATTTGCCTGAATATATACTGCGCACCTAAATGTGGTTTTCATCATCAGGAAGGAGCCAAAAGACGTTTCCTTTTTGAGACCAATCCAGTGTGTGTCTGATCCTGTGATGATGTTGGTCGAATGAGGAGGCGATTGCCAACACAGCGACCCCGTGAACGACGGGACAATGAGGCAACATTAATTAATTACTTTTTTTTATCTCGCCCTCTTGATACTAGACTCACGGTTGATGTCATAATTGCTTTTGTCCGCCTCAAGTGACTGGCCAAACTCACACCAGCTTGAAAGGTCTGAACTAATGATGGTCGATTCCAAAACATCGCCGGTCGAACGTCAATGTGCTGTCGACGACGATGATGTTCGTCTCACATCGGAAATAGTTTGAATGGTCTTGTTCTTCAGTTGTCTAGTTCCAAACTTCAGAAGTACAGCGGCAGAGCTTGGGGTGCCCGCCCAGTCACATTGTTTCATGCTTCCCATTGATTCTGCCTACACGTATCGATGATCTAGGTCATCTTTTAATTGACTATCTGCCTGTCATTCCACATCGTGTCGGTACGGTTTAGTCAGAGCAACACACAGTCAGTATTCTCCGTCTAACAGTCCGGGTTATAACGAAATGTACAGAACACTTGATGGGCACCTCATGGCTGATTGTGACTGCGGGAAAAATAGGCGCGAGAAATGGAAGGCTTTGAGGTTGTTGGTTGCAATGCAACATGGCCATTCCGCGAAAATGTGAAGGCCAGTTGTGGCCCCCACGAATTCCCACGATGTCAAACGACATGCCAAACCAAATAGCCGTGGAAGGGAAGTAGGGAGTTCATTCGGGCAGACGACCGCTGGCTGACGCTGATCACCCCACTCAATTTATAACTTCCCTGGGAGACTAGATTGCCACTAGATAGTCTACCTGTTTTCATACAGGAGACTACTCACAAAGTTGCTGAAAACCCATCAACAGCCCATGACCGGTTTCCTTCTCCTTGGGGCTCATCACGTAGGCACAGTCCCCGAGTTTCCGTCAACCGTATGTTCCAGTTGAACCCAAAATGCACGAAATTCGACTTCTACACTCATCTTCATACCAAGCTGGTTTTCACGAAAGACTCACTGGAACCCCAGCCGAATCTCTAGTTCATAAAACACGAGACGGTCTTTGTGCAGCAAATTTAGTTGAAGAATCTCATAAATGATGTATTCAGTTGGGTCTCTCATGAAGGCTAAATTGATACGCAATTGAATGTACTTGTTGTAGACTAGCTGTTATTCCAAACGGGATGGGCAGTCTGAGTATACATTGTAATGAGTTCAAGATGGCTCAGTGGTTTAGGTGGTTCCGTGGTTCTAACCCAATCACTGTATCGACTGATCCCCTCTGGGCGTGGGCAACCTGACAGCACCTGGGCCCTCGTGCATCATCTGGGCAGTGTAGCAGCTAGGCACCGAAACGGTATTACAACAGAACGATTATTATCATTTTAGACGGGCAATTTGTGAGCTATCCTTTTGGGGTTTGATGAAAGCTTATCAGGACAGCAGCTAGCTGCAGCTCAAGTCAACCAAGGTCTGAGAAGTTGCACAGTTTTTCACTCTATGGTTCGTTTCACTAGGCTAGTAATTTAGTTGGAAACAGCACAAAAAAGTTTCAAGCACCAACAGAAACCAATCTCCAAAGGGCACTGGGAATCAATAGATATGCTGACTTCTGTCCGTTTGGGTGTACTTTTGGTAAATTTGACCGAATCGGGAAACCTAGGTGAATGCAAAAACACACTGAAAGTGGTAACGAATCGGATGGGTGCTGGCAAGCTAATCTGAACTAAATGCATGGAACCGCGTGCGTGGAGTTCATCAAGACAGGTCTGTTAACCGTCAAGCCATAGATTCACATTTAGATAATATGCCAAGCTGGCACCGATTCCTGAAATATCCAATAAGAAGGGTGCCATAATTAGAGGTGTCCTTAGCCAGACAGCGATGGACGTCAATTCAGTTCTCATACTACGCCTCAGGAATTAGAGCTGAAGACTCACATCATAGTGGAACAAGCGTACTTAGCAAGAATAAGGACTGATAGAACAACGGGCTAGCAAACGGCTCCTAGCCGGCAAAATACCGGAAAAGAAGGCAACTGGAGAAATGAGAGATGAGAATTCCCTCTATGTGTTGGCAGAGGCAGATGGCCAGCGCTAGCCAACGGATGTCAAACCGAATTAACGTATTGGATGAAAGTCAGTCGACAGTCTGAAAAGAATCTGTGATAGGCGAAATGCTCAACGTAGCAATAAATCATCCAAATATATTGTATGTTTTCTGAAGGACTTAATTAATAAATAGCCGGGCGATTGGCTTTTTTAGAATACTGAACATAAGAAGTTCCGTGGGCTCTAAAACCAGCAGAGGCTGGGTAGTCGGAAAGCTGAGGAGATAAGGGAGGGATTGTCATATCAGATACACGCCAACTGCTGCGAATGTCACACGCACATTGCTTCAAATGTCAATAGGCCAGTGCCCCATAAAACAGCCAAAGAGGAAGGCACAAACATTCGACTTAAGAATTAAGTCCAAATAAAGATAGTTTGTTTAACTGCTATCCGGGAGGCTGCATATTCTTACAGCTCTAGAGAACCATTCCATATGTACTCATGATAATATTTGAAAAGAATGGAAGAACTGTGCAGCACTTATCAGTTTCTCAACGCAAACTGACTCACGCACAAGAAGAGACCCATGTCTGAAATCTCTGCACTACTTGGAGACAAATAAAAGCCAGGGAAAACTGATCCCCGAAATAAAAAAAACATGGAGCACGAGCAATATAATAAAGTGTGCGAATTCCAAGTCTGAGCATGAAACCTTAGCAGTACCGATGCATGGAAATTGAGATCCAAACAAATATACCGACAGGGGGCGACACTGGCAGCCTCGAACAACTGAAAATTCACCCTGCTCAAAGCATCATCCATAAGGACGAAATGGAAAAGCATAATCCAGGTGAGCAAACAACCATACATTTTTCCGACTGGAAAAAGCCAATACTAGTGCAGATCGTGTTTCCCATATCATCGCACCCAAAAAATCACGTGCAAACGAAACTGTGGCACCTACAACCACTGCACGTGTACGCGATTTTTACAGCCGGTTCGGATAACTGGGATCATTGCTCACACAACCTATACGCATAGTCGCGGTAAACACTCATTCGTAAATCAATCTGGGAAATTCAACCGAATCCCTCAATCCTAGTATTCTTCCTTATGGGCAGTAGTGTCATTAGAGGTACTGGTGCTCATGAGACTTTCCTTCCCGCCCACAGAGAGTCTCTTGGGCTAATCTTGAGTATCGACCCACAATGGCAAAATTTGGAGTTTTTTTAGTAGGAATCAAACACGACTTCTCGCTAACAGATGAGCATTCAGTTCAAATTCCACAACTAATCGACAGGGGTCCAGACAGCAAACTAAAATGCTCAGTAAACTGACCAGTGGTTGTGTATTTGAAATGGCTCAAGTGGTTACACCGTGAATTTACTGACCGGAAGGTCTGTGGTTCGAACCCGACCTCTGCCTCTCGACTTCCTCTGTCTAGGCTTGGCCAACCTAGCAGTATCCCAGTCCTCGTACTTCTTTCAAATGGCATGGTAGCTAGGCACCGGAATGGTGTTACAGCTGAACGATTTTTTTGTGTATTTGAAAGCATTGATGTACATATGGTAAACATGAGTAGTTGTCAGAATCTTCTCCTACGGACTGCATCAAACCGCGACAGATAAGAGGATGAGGCATAGAACCCGTCCACTGACGGACACCTGAGAACGAAAGAGACCTTCAAAATCAAAAGAAATACTTGATCAAATGTTAATCGCCTCACACAAAAAAGTTTATCACAATGCAACTGATAAGGGTGACGACGTCCCACCGCATATTGAGAGTTCCTCTGGACAATACTACCTGATTGGTGTTCGTGGAAGAGACCGCGCGTTCCGATTCCATTTAGGAAAGATCCGGTAGCGATATACCAAATAGTCAACAACCTGTCTGCATCTGCGGAACGATATCCAGCAGAATAAAGCGATACCGTGGGACACGTAGAAACGAACATACACTCAAATGGTACCAGAAATCCTAGATTGAAAAATGTCATAACAAAATACTTATAGTGAGAAGGATCAGAGTCAGCAAAAAACTTTGAAAGTGCTTCTTATATCTAAGCTATAGTGTGTATCGAGTAGCACTGAAGCTGATATTATTGATTGTTTTGCTTTTTCGTTGTACAGACTCGGAGCTCACCACAAATCTTGCGTCCACCACGGAGACAAACAACAGCTTTCGTTCATAATACTTAATTTTCGTGTAAGATTTGATTGTCACGCCTCTTCTAATTTTAAAACACTTTATAGAGTTCACGTCGCTATTTTCTCTACACACTGTACTGCTATCAGTCAGTTTTGTAAACTTTCAAGTACGTGTTAGTTGGAAGGCTTCTGTAATCAGTTGTTTAAGCCTACTCACAAACCAGTGAATTGTGGACACAAAGTACTACGAAATGTTGGTACGGCCAGAACAAACTGAGTTGCTTGAAACCACAATGTTCGCGATTCTTTGCCACTGAAATACGTCAACCCAGTGAAATTCTCATCAAACTCTTGAAAAAAATTTACGTAAACTCTGCCGTATGGCAGTGAAGCATCGGTGCTGAACACTGATGTCATGCTGTCGATGATGATGATGATGATGACGAAACTCTGCCGTTTCCCCTTGACTTTCGCCCTCAAATCCTCGATAACATAGAAGACAACTCCCGAAATTTTGCGCACGTTTTCCAGTGAGGTGGAAAGGACAGATCTTCGTTCTCAACAATTTAGTCGAAAGTCCAGCTACTACAACTCGCTAGTTCTTTGATAAGTTGGGATACACACGCTCTCGTTACGATTATCTAATCAAACGTCACGCGATCACGCTTAAACACCAGTTTTCTCACCCACGATGAGTTCATCAACCCAAGTAACTAACAGAAAACCACAAACCGGGGTAGCTAATCTTTTGTTCTCATCAGGCAAACATAAAAAAGAACCCAACTCTGAATTGCGTGACGAACCTCGAAATACACGTTCTGTACGCAAGCACATTTAACACATGATTGACAAATCTTTCGTACAGACTTTGCTCAAACTCATACATTCAGATGGCAAATTCATTTTGTTCAACTATCGCTGGCAGAAAATGCGTGGATTGTGTGCCAGGTTTGTTCAATGGCGACTGACATGGTGAACAACCACTCGCCTCCTCCATCTGCTCGGCATCTTCGGGTTTAGTAGTGGGTGTTCGATAAAACCATGGGGATTTCTTCAATGTACTCCAAATTTCAATAGGTAAAGGGAATATGATTGTAGAGTTGTGTTCAGCCGAAATGTCACACAAAGTCTGCAAATAACGCAACTGCAAAGCCACAGGACAATTACGAATCTCCATTGCTGCTTCTCGTAACGGTCGCGAGGCCTCTTTCTCCCCATGGGCTGCAATTACTTTGGCCTTTGCTTCTCGCGTGGCCTCGGCTTCTGCAGCCAACGTCCGTTGGAGTTGCAATGGCAAGCGGACGTCTTTGATCTCCACGCGTTCAACTTTCATACCCCATGTTTCTGTCGCAGTGTCCAGTGTCTCTTGCATCATCGCGGCAATGTTCTCGCGGTCGGTGAGCAGTGCGCACAAATCTACCATTCCCAAAACATTACGCAGTGTGGTTTGGGCCAGAAGGCGTGTAGAACAATTAACATTCTTCACATTGACCACAGACATAACAGGATCAAAGATTCGATAGTAGACCACGGCGTTCACAGCCACAGTGACCGAGTCTCGGGTAAGTACCTCCTGCGTGGGCACATCAAATGTGAACGTGCGCAAATCCACACGCTCAACAGTATCCAAACAAGGTAGTGTGAAAATCAAGCCCGGTCCGGCGGGCATTTTCGAAACCAACCGTCCCAGCCGAAAAATCACCGCCCGTTCATACTGCGTGACAACACGGAGGCAAAACACAAGCGAGAATGGTAATCCAAGCAAAACGAAAAGACAGGCGAGAAAAACGAGAAAGTGCTCGCAATGAATCATGGTACGATCAGTTAACATTGGGAGATGGGCGTTGTACAGGCTCGCCACACCATCAAATCGTTCAGGAACTACGGAAAAGCTGCGCTTTAAAAACCCTCTGCGTAGCACCGTCTCAGGATCGTTCATATTATCAGCGGTGGCGCTGTTCGTACAACTGGCCTCATTCAGATGGTGCGCGTCGGACGAATCTAAACTTGTAGTCAGATGAGTATGTGATGGACCAATACTGAAGCTGCTGATGCGTTTGGAGAAGAATGTCCGCAACGACTTGGAAAATAAGTGTGGTGCATAGGCCGGGTAATCGGATGGAAGCATCAGCTGTGCCGAGTACGGTGACCACTCAGTATTCGGTTCATCGTTTCGTGGTCGAGACGAGGAGAGTGATGTGAGTGGGACCGCAGCCGAATGCAGTACGTTGTCAAACGTATTCATCCCAGACAGACGAGATTCAACGACTGGGAGAATAGTCGTAGCAAAGTTGGGTGGTGAATCGGAAACAGTGGACCAATGTGGTTTCCGGAAAAGTCGGCCAATCAGCAAATGCAACCACTGCGTAACGTTGAACCAACCAGCACGGTTGGAATGAGCAAGGGAATTTCGGAACTCATGGGATAGCAATGGAGTGAAAGAACCATCTACCAGCCAACGCTGTGGCTAGAATGTATAACCATTCTGACTAACTTTGATTACACGCAAATGGAAGCTCCAGCACATTAATTTACTTAACAAGCGCCTCTGGGATGCACCAAAGATGTACGACTAGACACGCGTAATGTGTTACAGCACCATACCATTCGAAAAGTGTCTTGTGGTGCGGAACAGCAGCGGACAGTATTTTGCCAAGGAGAATCGCAGTTGAACGCTTTTAAACACCGATCAGAATTCAGAACTAAACATAAGGACTAACAATAATCACTACGGTGCTGAAAAAGACAATTCAACAGCTGAAGAAGACGCGACAGTTTACAAAAAAGAACCAGGTATGGTGGAGAGACGGAGAATCCTGCGCGAGGTACGAGAGTTCTTTGGATCAATCGATGCGCATTGGAATAGCAACCCAATCGCATCAGCAATTTGGGCTCATGCTACGCATCGTGCGCGGCGTTCCGGTCCACCTGCCACCTCTCACCATCATGACCTTAATTCACTTGCGTAAATCTTGACCTAAACACCATAAGCATGATCTTGGGTAAGGGCGTTGTACCGGGACATGATAGGCCGCACACTTCCATAACTGTGCATCAATATTCATGAAAAAATCCTAGCTTTTTGGGGTGGTTATTAGATATAGTGCTAAACGAGGTACCGTACGAAAGACAAAATAACTTCTAGATGGAAGAGAGGGAAAAAGAAATGTTGAGACTGCTGTGTCCGTTGCGTGCATGCAGTCTTCAGTATTTTTCGTTTTTTTTTTGCTGAAGCGACCAGATTTCCCGATTTCTGGCGACACTCTCAAGCGTTCTTAACCAGGTGATGAAAAAACGGGCATTTAGTTGTGCTGCAGGTACTTCAATCCGAGAAGGTATCCAGCACCATCGACTACGATGGCTACGATGTGCTACGCATGCCGAAACACCGTCTACCGAGACGGGTGTTGTTCTCCGTGCCTCCTTCGGGATGGCGCAAACCGCGAGGTGGACAGCACATGACTTGGCAGAAAGGCGTCAAAGAGATCACGAAGAGTTTGGGTGTTGTTGGTGTTGTACGACTTCCAGGATGGGGTCCCCGTGACCCCGTCTGTGTCTGGCTGGAGACGTTGCAAGAAATGGCTGCCAATCAACGTCAGTGACGTTCGTGCTGTCAGTTTTATTCAAGATTGTCTGATTGAGATATATATATAACTAGACGAACCTTATGGTGAAGTGAAGCAGTGAAGCATCAGTCCCAACACTGATATTGCTGTCTTTGATGATGATGTTCCTAACCAGAATACTTCGGACTTGACTCGGACGCCGCCATTATTAGCAGACTATGAATAAAGCAACCACATGCAAAAGCGAGTCGAAAACCTGTATTAATGATGCCCGACGAACCGTGTTGTCTGATCTGAAAATATTTGACCTCTTGTGTTGTAAACAGACCAGTTCCAAATCATTTCGCGCTCGGCATTTCCGGTTGTAACGTGGAGGTCTGTTACACCGTGTTCAGAGCTCCTCATGTTCCCATAATGTTCCTTACTTCTAAACTAACAAGAGACAAAGTCATTTTACACATTCCTTTCAGTCCCATTATTTTGAAATAAATGAGGCCGAAAAATTTGACCTTCTTAGCGATGATTGTACTTACAAAGAAGAACAACCGTGCTAACGCGCTCACTCATGCAACTGCACTATTATCGTCGCTGCAAATATCGTTCTATAGAGTGGGCTCTGCATTTTTTGGTAAAGTTCCCCGGGATGCACAAAAACAATTAGCTGAGTAAACAGTATGGAATGTAAACGGAACTATTTGTGGCCTGCCCTTAACGTTACCCCATCTTTTACCACTTGAGGAGCTTTGTTTTGAATCGCCTCTCCATCCCAATAGTAATCAGTGCCATAATTCTACCATGTTTTCTAGGATTCCTCAAACTTGTTGCATGCTTTGTAACAAGCAAATGAACAAGAAAATGGTTACTCATTAGACAGCATTGATAGACGCTGCAATGTCATTACACCGATTCTATGCACTAGCCAGATTAACAGTGCCCTTCATATTCATGTTACTGAAAGAGAAAAACTATCCGATTTCAGCATGCTCCTTTGGACCATTTTCAATCGAAAACAGAGACCCGAGAGAGTGCCGATGAATACCTTAGCCAAATTACCCCTCTCGCTTGCTGTTTACTGTTCAGTAGAACCACTCTGGCACTGCAATATCCTTTCTGTAACTGATGGCCTAGAGAGGTTGGAATGATGGCGGAAAGGTCAACACTAACAAATAAACAGTCAGAGTTGGATTCTAAGAGCGACACGGGGTAATCCACGAATTGTCTGAGCCAGGTACTCCAGGCTTCGGAACTGAACGCATGTTGAATTGTTTGGCCGGTGATTTGGTCGAAGCCACTAAGTGACGATTCTCCCTAGTACACTTGCAAGTTAAGCGCACGTAAACTGGCTTTGCTAGTGATAGCCGGTCGATCAGTAAAATATCGTTCCAGTCCCGCAAATAGCGCTGTTTGCGTATCACAAAACTAGTATAAGTTGTCACGCAGGCAGAGTGATCGTGACTCTTGATTGGACGAGCGGACACCATAAGTCTTCGCTCCGCCAAGCTAACCTGCATTATACTGGGTGGGTTGCGCGAGTCCTCGAGTTTTCGCAGTATCTCGAATATCGTACCAACTGAAACGTGAGGCGACCTGGTGCAGCACATCCAGTTGCTTAAAAACATCATAAAGGAGAGATTCATCTGGGTTGGGACACCATAAGTCTTCGCTCCGCCAAGCTAACCTGCATTATACTGGGTGGGTTGCGCGAGTCCTCGAGTTTTCGCAGTATCTCGAATATCGTACCAACTGAAACGTGAGGCGACCTGGTGCAGCACATCCAGTTGCTTAAAAACATCATAAAGGAGAGATTCATCTGGGTTGGAGGTGAGTCGCAAGCAAAACCAAACTGGTTTGCAAATGAGTGTATTTCGCTTATGACTAAGTTTACCCTCCTATAAACGAACCATGCGATGGTCACCAGCAGCCGTGGAATCCTGTTAACCTGAGTGGCACCTGAGTGTGCAGGGGCGGGAGGAGCGGACGCAATCAAACACCAGACCTGATGGGAGGATGACACAGACACAAGATCTAGTGGTCGTTCCAATAAGTTGGCTTTGTACCCGCCCACCCCCACTACTGCCTCAGAGTCTTCACTTCGTTTAGAGATGCATTCTCGAACAACTTCCGTGTGGAGATGAAGATGTTGCTCGTACGTGAAGTCCCATGTTCTTCCGTGATTGTGTCCCGGACACAAGATCCTCTTAGCGTTACCGTATCTCGGGTGAGTGATAGTTCTGGTGGTGGCTCAGCTGTCGCGATGAAAAATAAACAGCTGGATCTCCCTCATCCTCCCGTAAAAGGAGAACGACATTCCAAACAGGCTACTAGAGCATCTATATCTCCTCGACGTGGGAAGCTAGTCTCATTATACGAAGGCCCCGATTAGACTGCACTTAACTGCCTTTGATTACCAAATTGACATTGTCCTTCAGAGGCACGGATTGCTAGTTTCATTTCACAGCGCAGGAAAGTCCCAGGTATGGAACGCTGCAACATGCGGTTCTCGTCCTTATTTAACGCACAATGTTTTCTTCGGAGTTCGGCTTAAGAGCCAGGACTGTAATAGCTCGTTTTTAAGGTTCTCCAGCGAAACTGACCGCCATAGCGACCTGAGCTCCTACTTCTCCATTGGACCGCCTCGTCAAAGGCCATTTCGATGATCAGCCAAAATTATGATCCTCCACACCCCCAGTTGCGATATCATCATAGTTTGCGGTGACCTGTGAGGAGAGAATTGGGGCTTCAGATTACCGCACGCTTGGTAATTTCGACTGTGAGTGAAAATGGTGATCGATTGGTCAACAACGCCGCTTTGGATCGACTCGTTATTCCTAAAAAAAATCAACAATACCGGAAGAGACATCTTACCGGACAATTACTTACTTGTGGCCGCCCCACGAGAGTCGTCGTAAGACTGTAGGTCCTTGCATATATATATATATATATATATATATATATA